AATGTTTTTTAATCGTGAAAAATGTTAAACATTAGTTCAATAGTTTGTTATCATAACTTGTTTTTAGTTAATTACATAAATTATTATGTATTTAGTATTTTATGGTCAAAGAAAAGTTTCCACAAATCTTCTACTTATCTGAAAGCAAATTCTCTAAATATGACAATTGTTTTAAGCTTATAATCATATGACAACATATTATTAATATATTGAGTCCTATGTTACCAACAAAACGTAAAGCTTGTGATTTGCTTTTATCGTAATTCAATAATTAAATATAAACCAAACAATGCCTACGTTTTGTTAGCTATAGTTTTGTATCTATTTTACAAAACAATATACATTTCCCTCTAATTGTTGTCGTAATTATTTTAGTCATTTCAACGGAATTTTTATTATCCTATTTAATACAAATAAAGCTGTTGATCTCATTTTATCATAAATAGTTTACATTCACTATAAACCATAATTAATAGTTAAATTGAGCATTAACGTAAATCTATTTATAATTAGTTTTAATTAAATGTCCTATACAATTTATAATTTATTAATGAAACAATTTAGTCACTCATTATATATAATTAACGTTATTATTATGTTTTATAAATGGAAAGATCAAATAACGGGATAATTGACCCGTGATTTCCATAATTAGCAATCGATGTTAATATGAACTGATCGTAGAGAACATCACTTCTAAAACTGGTCTCAAAAACACCAATTTCTCCATAAAGAAAGCATTAGACAAAGAGTTGAATGAATACACTATAAAGTTTATATTTTATTTTGAGTATAAACCATAAGTTAAGGCTTTCTTTATGGAGAAATTGGTGTCTTTGTGTCATTATAGAGATAATGTGATTGTTAATCATGTATAACTATGATCAAGTTCATATTATCAGATAACAGCAATTATTGCTGGTTAAGGCAATGACTATCGATTGACACCAAGGAAATCGTGGCACAAATCACAGGTCAATTATTCCGTAATTTGATTGTTCGCTGTCTAAAGTGTTTGATATTTATATTTTAATTGTAAAAATTAGTTTTAAATTTAGTTTCAAAACCAATTGATTAAGTGAGGAAACAAATGATCATATTAATACTATTTATATGAAATTATTTGAAGTACTGTATATTTTTTGTATAAATATTAAAGGCTTTCCTAGTCTAGAGTCTAGACTCTAGACATTTATTAAAGAATAAATCAGAATTTACATTATTTACTGCTTATTAACTTATTAATTTATAAATAATTGTATTATGTAAATATAAAACTTGTGTTCTCATTATTTGTTTCATGTATTTGACAATAAGTACAATACATTACATTGTAAATTATATTTTTCATTGTCATACAATTATTTTTGTGACAATTTATTGAGCAATATGCAATAAATTTACATATTTCTAACTTATTAGTAATAAGTTATTACATATTTGTAAGAAATAATTACAACTTTCTAACAAGGATCATTGATACTATATTTATGCTTATAAAGTTTTAGTTTATAATAATATAACAAGATTGTATTTATAATAACTTGATTAATATTGTAAAATACATTTTAAATATAATTTATTCTAAATAAGATCACAACTAAATTAGTCTATTCATCCATATTCATATAAATATATCTAACAATATGATCTAGATAATAAATATGCAAATATATATTGTATTTATAATATGAAATAGCTAATACATGATAAAGTATACAGAATATAATGAATAATTGTGCGAACAATATTCAGTTTGCTAATAACATGATTAGTGCTCTTATTAGTGTAAATATGAACTAATGTGCACTTTTTAACCTTCAAATTAGTTTTGTTTGATGTGAAAACATTAATTAAATGCAATTACTTTCTGTCAGATTCGCTGTAATCTCTGCGATGAAGAGCACAGAATATCTCATATACTGTATGTTTTTGGGATTGGGATAACCATTAAATTAACAGACAATGTATACTCTCTTATCAAAACAATTGCTAGTATTTTAATGAACTCCGTGATTTTAGTTACAATGTCTTATACTTATCAATAAATTGCATTTTAATAAAATTCTAACATCATAAAATTGACCAATGTTAAATTTATAAACTATAACTGTTGTAGGGCCTGACCGCCCCATCTCTAACCATTGCCAGTGGGGTTGAAGTGTTATTATTGTGCATAACGTCATTGTCTCACAAGTATTTTAAATTACAGATAATACTCATTGTACTGATTGTAGGCAATGGATAGTCAAACGTGCAGTTGTTATCGCAAACGCTTATGTGATTGTAAACTGTTTGTAACATTTAATATAATTGTTTGATCCAAAATACTCTCTTATATTTCAACTCAAAAATTCCACATTTTATTAATATTTTCAAAATAAAATACCAATTTTTGTATTCTAATAACTTTTATCTAAAATATAAATGTACAGAATTTATATCATTTTATGTAATGTAATGAATGTTATTCTCACGACAATTGCACAACAAATAAAAATTAATTTTATTTATTAATTAAATTGAATTTCTAATCTAATGACTAAAAAATTTCTATTCAATGCATTGTAATTAAATAAAATTAATAAAAATAAGTCTCAGATTTTGAGCTTTGTTATTTTTATTCTTTACCAAAAACTTACTGGCAATAAGTTATACAGCAACTTTATTATGAGTACTTTACGTACTCCATGTCTAATAATAGTGGAAAGAGAGAGGTAGAGAATTGTGATATATAATAATCAGAGCATTGCATTAAACTATAGCAACTATTTTTAGTGGTTAATAGTATTTTCCCCAAACTCGGTATGTGAACCAATCATGTATTGAGGGTCAGTTTACCGAAAGTTTATTTTAACTGTATTTAACTATTATAGGCTTTCGTAACTAATTTTATTGTTTTGTAAATTTGACTAAATTTTAATGTAAAAATTAATAGTTTTGGTTTCAAGTTTTTATTCAAATTATCAAAATTAGCAAAAGTATCGGTATTGTGTTGTTGATCGTCACAAATACCACACAATACATCATAAATTCTGTATTCATTTAGTTAATTTTATGTGAATCAACTGAATAGACGCTATACTTAATGTATTAACCTGCAATGTAATTCTCGGATGATAATTTATTATAAACAGAATAAATAATTCTAGTACAAATTAATATTTAATACATTGGGTATAATTAAAACCATGATAATTTTATTTTTAAATGATAGTACAGCGTGTATTTATCATAATAAATATGCTTAAAATTTTTTAATTAGTCTTAATACAAATAAAATTGTTAAATAAAATTCAAAAAACAAAATTCAAATGCAATTAATGAGAAAACCATTGTTTTTACGAAAGATGTCTGCGAAGAGTGGAATCGCATGTGTCTTAAAGCAGAGTCGGCACAAATGGATGCATTCAAATGTATCGCTCCGTCGGTCTTCTATTACGATACGAACCGATGGACTTGGGATGAGGCGCGACAGATGTGCTCTCAAAAGTTTGATGCCATATATGAGGCAGACTTAATGCAATTGACCGACGCGTCCAAGAGTGCCGCTCAAGCCATGATGGATCATCTCGTTCAAAAGGGACTCATTGCATGTATGAACATATTTTGGTCAAACCATTTTATCAATAACTTTCTGACAAAATTTTAATACAAAATGTAATAATTTTATGACAATACGAAACAGCGGGAAAGAGTGAATTCGCCACAAGCGGTGTGTGTTGTATGAGAAAACTGGCCAATAATAGATACGGTCCATTGTGTCAATGGTTGCCCTCAGGCGATCCCATCGATGGTCTAACTTCTTCGGATCAGTGCCACATACATACCGTTAAATATGACACACAAACCAAAGTCTTCATTAACGCCGAGTATAATATAAATGCAATTTTCATATGCTTTACGAGTAAATTAAATAATTTTTGTCGTTTGTTGAACAAAATAGTGGGTTTCAAAAAGTGGAAGATAAATCATTTGACGGCCATTTATGCGCTTTTAATGCACCAAAGGGTTGTATGTGAGTGAAAATCATGATGATTGTTTGCTCATTTAGTAAATGGTAGTAACAATTGAATGTATAAATATAGGGCAACGCAACCGCCACCGCCATCGCCCACATCATTCCCAAGCGATACGACGACCGCCACATCGAGTGACCCGTCAGTCATTCCGACCCACTCTCCGGACGAAGTGAAGAAAGGTTTGGACGAATTGGATGAACGGCTCAAACATTTGGATCTAAACGTAGATCAGTTGCTCGACTGCTCCGAGAAGTTGACCGATATCTTAAAAGGCGGTTCACTCGTAACGGACGCCGTATTAAATCAGACGTTGAATATAATCGACACTTTGCAGCAAAGGGTACCCAAAAAGACTAAAGACCCCAAACATCTGCGGACATTCACCGAACACGTGGTTCAGAGTTGCAGCGATGTGTTGGAGAGCGAACGGGCGTGGGATAAGATTGACCATGATCAGGTCAAAGCTAATTTCAGCTCAAATATACTGCATTTCATGCAAAGGAGTTCATTCGCGTTGGGCTGTCGGGAGCCGTCCAACACCACTAACTCCTCACACGAGGCCATACATAAGGACAATATTGTGGTCCAAACGTTTACAATGGATTACAGCAAAGAGACCACTTTTCTGGTCAAACACATGGCCTCATCCATCAAATTGCCGGCCGGTATACCGGAGCCGCCGCGCGATCAGGAGTGCATTCCCGGGACGGCTGTCGGCGCTGTAATCGACAAGTTGTCCCGATATTTGTCCGTCAATTTTGCCGACAAACACGAACTCAACTCAGATATCGTGGCATTCAGTGTCGCAAACAATCAAAACTCGACACAACTTCCGGCAAACGTCTCCCCCGTTGTCGTTACGTAAGAAATAAACAAATCGTTCACTAAATTAATGAATAAAATAATAATTATAGCTAAATATTTTAGAGTCAAACACAATAATTTGCTAACATTTGGCGATAAAGTGCAGTGCGTTTACTGGGATTTCCAGCAAATGAAATGGTCGTCGAGTGGGTGTCAGTTCCGCGTTGAGGGCTCCGACCGGAAAGTGTCTGTCTGTGAATGCAATCATTTGACAAATTTTGCGGCTCTAATGGATGTGAGCGGAAGAGAGGCCAACACTAAAGTGAAAGACATTTTGACGAAAGTGTGTTGCGGTCTGTCTATCATTTGTCTCGTATTAACCATTGGTTTCTTAACATTGGTTC